GTCCATATTCGGAGGGATCATAGATCGTCTTGAAGGGAACTGTTGGCTTGTGACACATGGTGTACGCACGCGTCAAGTTGGCTAAAGTCTTTTGCCAACCGAAATGTCCCTCAGTATCGTGGCATTCCCCTAAAAGATCAAACTATGAATCTCTTCGTTGTTGGGAACACACAGGCGGTCAAATACGTTAGTCTTCTCAAACAACAACCCGTCTGTAGTGCGGTAATCTGGCTCAGTCTCTGGAGCCTCTCTAACTCTCTTTAGGAGGTCGCTATAGATAGGGTCCTGCGCATACGCTTGCTTCACTTTCTCCTGCAGGTCTCTCCTTATATCCAGATAGTGTATTATGGCTCCAAAGTAGTCTGATCTCCTACTCAGAGCGTCTGCAACTACGTTGTACTTGCCCTTCACTGGCTTAAGCTCAAAGTCATATTGGTCTATCTCTGCGGCCCACCTAGTGAACTTAGGTGTCATCTTGGCCTGAGTCTTTAACCACCTAAGGGTCTCGTGGTCAGAATACACTTTGAAGTGCCTCCCAAGCAGGTAATGCTTCCAGTGCTCTAGAGCCTGCCTGAGAGCGTAGAGTTCTCTCTCGTATGTCGCGGTGGCTACCTTCTCTGAGGGCATCCTCGCGGACATGAACTCTATGGGTCTATAGCCATTGTCGTCATCCTATTGCAACACGACGCCTATCCCAGACTGAATTGCGTCCGTGGTGACGACAAAAGGCAAAGACGGGTCGGCTACTTTGAGGACAGGGTACTCTATTAGTGCGCGCTTTAATCTCTTGAGCGCAGATGTACAATCCTTGTCCCATTGCCAAATTGCCTCTTTCTAAAGCAATCTGCGTAGGGGAGCGACGATAGTAAAAAAGTTCCTCACGAACTTTCTACAATAATTACCTAGGCCTAAGAACGACCGCAACTCTGTCAATGTGAGGGGTGTAGGCCAGTCTCTAATCGCCTCGATCTTGCTGTCCTCTGGCTTAATGCCATCTCCGTCTAATATGTGGCCCAAGTACAGGACTTGTACCTTGGCCCACTCGCACTTCTTCGCGTTGATCTTGAAGTTAGCCTCTCGTAGCTTCTCCAAGACCTGCCTCAGATGACCCTGGTGTTCCTGGAGGGTCTTACTAAAAACTAAGATATCATCTAAGAAGACTACCACAAACTTGTCTAACCATGATCTAAACAGGTCATTCATACAACGCTGAAAAGTGGCTGGCGCATTGGTTAGTCCAAAGGGCATTACTATAAACTCACAGTGCCCGTATCTAGTCCGGAACGCAGTCTTGTACTGCTCATCAGGATGGACCTCTATCTGATGATAACCGGACTTCAAGTCTATCTTGGAGAAATACTTCAACCCTGCACCCGATCTAAGAGATCGTCTATCCTAGGCAGCGGCTCAACATTTTTCACAGTAATCGCATTCAAACCCCTATAGTCTATGCACATACGAAGCTCTCCTTCCTTCTTGGGGACAAAAAGGACTGGTGCTCCAAAAGGAGACGAACGGGGCCTGATCCAACCTTTCTCGAGGAGCTCGTCTAACTGCTTGCGCAGCTCCTCTAACTCTCTAGGGGACATCCTGTAGACTGCTCCCTTAGGAGTTCTACTGGCAGGCTCTATCTCTATTCTGTGCTGGATGGGTCGCGACACTACTCCTGTCGGCGACTCAGTCAAATCTTTGAACTCTTCCAGCAGCTTGGCAATCGTCGGATTTGTGGAACTATCCTTTCCTTGGCCTCAATGACAGGTCTAACATAAACTACAAAGACCTGGTCATCTAACTGCTCCTTTTTCACTAGTCGCGCGAAAGCGGGAGCACTGAGACAGCAATGTGCCAAGGTGTTGTCTACACCTGACACATGGAACAGGCGGGCAGTCTTGACCTTGCCCGATGGACTGGGGAGCCTACACTCATGCTCTCTCAAATGGAGTGTGGCCCCTGCTGCCTCTCCCCAATCCATTCCTAACACCACGTCGAAAGGAAGGTCATCCTGTACGAGGAGTGTCAGGGAATGGAGAACTTTCTCCACCTTCCCATCCTTCTCTAGGCGAAAGTACGCCAGGACTCTCTCTACATAGTCCTCAACACGCATTGTGCGGTGCTCTGCGAGGACACTGACTATGGGGTCTGCTACCTTTTGGACCTTTAGTCCTTGTGCCTCAGCTTCTTCAGCGCCCTACGACTAATATAACTACGTGCGGCCCCTGAGTCTATAAGGGCCCCTACTCTACTCCTAAAAACTTCTACATTTACCAAAATCAGTTGTCCCTTACTCTCCTTCTTCATTTTGGCCCAGGCTGGCATCCTCTCCTTTAACTCTTTTGCCACGCCTGTGAGGGACGTGCCTAGAGAGACCCTAAGACAAGCAGTCCCTGGACAGCTAACTAGGCACAGGCCTGCGACCTCTGCCATGGGCTCATGTGGGTTGGGAGTGTCCTGTTCGCGCGCGCTCAGTTCTCCACATGGCCTTGAAGTAGGGGCAGTTGCAACCCCTACTGGCGGCTGCCTTTTGACTGCTGGGCAGCCCAACGGGCCTTTCTATACTTGGGACAAAATTTAATGACATGGACCGGGTCACCACAGAATATGCACTGACCCTGGTCCACGCGCTCTTGCCATACGCGCTGGTCCAAGCCCAAATCTTCTAAGGGCCTGCCTTGTGGCAAGCCTGGGTGCTATCCTCCTTGAGATGCCCTTCCACCTCGTCGCTGTGGGGACCGATTGGAACCTTGGCGATTTGGCGGGGGACCTTGACCCCTACCTCCCACTTGGCAGTTTCCCTGTCCGCCAACCCCCCGTGCGCCCGGTCCTCGGCCTCCCATGGCCTGGCCCCTTTGGCCCTGGCCTCCTCCTCTACCTTGCGGCCTCCCTCCAGCCGCGACAGCAGCATAGGACCTCCCCTGTCCCACGCTATTGTCCTCCTCCTCGAGGCCCCACTCAATCTAACTGTATGGGACCTCATCAGTACCACCTTCCTCTAAAGTAAGGATCATGTGATCCTTGGCCCTCACTTGGCCTGAGATGGTACGACCCTTCCACCTTTTGACCTTCTCTAAGTCCTTATGCCAGAAAGTGGAAATTGGCATGGACTTGGCCTCAAACAGCACCACCTCTCTACTGAGCGCATCGTATGTCATGGTGGGCTGTTGGGACTTGTCAAAAAAGTGCCCACGCAGGGGCTCTGGCATGGCACGATAAAATAATTGGACCAATTGGGGCTCAGTGACCCCATGGTCTGGGACGGCTACTAAGTCGTCCATAACGCCCTTGAGTGCCTTGGCACTCCACTGCCGTGAGTGGATCGTTTGTAACTTGTCAGAGGCGCGAACACCTCTCGTTGGGTCTGCAAATCGCTCCCTCAGGAGCTTGAAATTTTGAGAAAGGGGGGTGACTTTAGAGTAAGCAACCAGGTTGTTTTCACAACCGGCCGCGCGCGCAAGGGACCTGGCAAAACTAGCCGACTCATCCTTAAGGGCCTGGAAGGCCACGAGGACTTGTTCCTCTATCAGGATGTGTTGTAGATATACGTAACTATTGACACTGGCCTCCCAGTTGTCAAAGTTCTCCTCCTTCCCTCCGTAGGCATCCGGTAATTTGAGCTTGACTGGGTCCTTGCGAGGCCTGGCCTCGCCCTCTACAGCGGCTATGTCTTCGGCGCCCTCAATAGCGCCCTCACAAAACTTCCCCACATTGTCTCTCAGTTGCTTAACTTCGCCCCCAATGTGGGTGACTATCTCGCGTGCCAAAACTCTAAACCCCGACCGCATTGCACTCAAAGTTACGTCTTGGCTCTAGCTGGCCTGGCGCTCCTCCATCCAGGCTCTGCTCAGCACCTCTAGGTACCCCAATACCTTATCCCACTTGGCCTTGTCATCCCGCTGGGCCAACACTTCTTTTCTACAC